CTCCCCAGTCTGGGGGGAGGGGGGGCGCTGCAGCTCTCCTAGAATTACAACTGCTTTCCAGACAGTTTCCTTGGAGGAAAGGGCAGCTCCAGAGGGTGGTGGACTCTATGATGTCCTGGCCCTGTTGACCTGCCTCCCCTCCCGAAATACCGCCCTCCCCAGACTCTACCCCCAAATCTGCAGGGATTTCCCAAACTGGAGATGGCCACCTTGCCTGCTGGGGGAAACCTATGGTTTGCCTTACATGGTCCCAACTGGCTTTCTTCCCTGCTCTGGAGGTGAGGAAAACGCCGCAGGGGCCTCAGAGCCTCATGTAGCACCCCCAGCCTGAATCAGCCTCCCCCACCCATCCAGAGCAGCGGTTTACTAATAAACATGCTCAAGAGGTCCCTGCACAGGTCTCCCAGCGGGACTTTTTGTCCAGTTCAGACCTCAGAACACTTCTTCTGCAGGCGAGCGAGAGGTTGATCTATGAATAGGGTTGCCAATCTCCTGGTGATGGCTGGAGTTCTCCTGCTATTTACAACTGATCATGAGGCAACAGGGATCAGTTCCCATGGAGAAATTTTTTTTAACATTTTAAAAATTATTTTATTAATGCAGTACAGCAGAGTGCATAAAAAGGAACAAATACACCAAGTACATAAGGAGGGGTAAATACTGTCTTCCTTGGCAATCCTCAACCTAACACAGGCACAACTATGGAAAACCACCGTAAAATAAGCCACCAAAACTGCCAAAACCTTAATCGGAAAAGTGAACAGATATATTAAAAATAGAAGGACATTAAGAAAAATTAGTCAAAAGTTATGTTACCTAGAGAATTTTGTTAATGGAAAAGGTGAAATGAGATCACACAAGAGGTTTGGGCTGGAGGTTGGAGCACTGCGGGAAGTCAAGAGGAAAGGATATATGTTAATGTGGCAGAACATGTATAGTTCGATTTATTGATATATCCCAATAAAATAAAAAAATGTTAAAACAAAAAAAAGGAAAAGTGAACAGATACTTGCACATTAACATGTGAAATTCAACCATAGGTTAAGAACTCAAGATCTTGCATATGTGTACAATATACGCTTATAAAACCAAATAAGTATACTATCAACAAAAAAAAAGAACTCATATTTAAGATCTTTTGTGTTTTCCCAGTCAAATTTGTCTAGGTTCATTTTCTCAAGGATTGGATACCATTTGTCAAGGGGATTCAGTAGGTGACTTTCAACATCCTCCGAGTTATCCCAGAGGGAGATTTTTTCTTGCAAGAAAAAAATCCCATACTTTATGCAACCACTGTTGCACTGAAGGAAGGGTGTTTGCTTTCCATTTACCCGCTATCAAAGTCTTGGCTGCTACTATCAGGATATTAATCAGCTCTTTGCTTCTTTCAGGTGGACCACCTGCCAGCCAAAGGTGAAGCCTATGGAGAAAATAGCCCCACTGAAGTCCCTCTCCGCCCCAAACTCCCCCCTCCTCAGACTCCACCCCCAAAATCTCCAGGAATTTCCCAGCCCAGAGCTGGCAACCCTCTCTATGAGAGTCTAGAAGAACAGAGTGTGCCTCTGGAGGACTGCTGTAATTAGAATGCTGCTCAAATTTGACAATGACGCTACAAGGAAGAGAAGAAACTATTTTTCAAAATATTTGGTTGCGTGTTTATGACTGGATAGAGAAAAATCTTTAAATTTTGATGTGAATTTATTATACAGATGAGCAATACCTTTTGTTTCATATGTTAAATTGCAACAAGGGGTTTCCATTATGTTATGTTTTTTGTTTGTTTCCCAAGTCTCTTTTTGGGAGTGTCTGTCTTTGTTGGGTGTTTGGAAAAATAAAGATATATAGAAAGGGGGGGGAAGAATGCCGCTCTTTCCTTTTCTGTAGAGTCCTGCTCTTGCCGTGACTAAAGTATGATGATGTTCAGTTTGCTTGCATTTGTGCTGTCAGTGGATCCACCCTCTGTCTGCAGGAATCCTCTGTCTGAGGGAACCTGGCCCTCAGGGAAGTGCGTGCCAATTGGCACCTTGATGACCTTTGAGTGGCACCCTCTGCGTGAGGTGCTACACGCTCTCCTTGGCTGTGTGCTTGGGCTTCTTGGGGGGGGGAGAGAATCAAGTGAGTTCAGTGGCATTGCCATGGCAGACAGTGTTGACATATGTCCGTTTGTGGCTTTCAAAAGCCCATTTCTATGGAGAGAAGAAGCAAAGTAGGCTTTTCTACCCCACTTTGGTGTAGTGGTTAAGTGCGCGGACTCTAATCTGGGAGAACCGGGTTTGATTCACCACTCCTCCACTTGCACCTGGCTGGATGACCTTGGGCAAGCTGTAGCTCTGATAAGAGCTGTTCTTGAGAAACAGCAGTTTCTGTCAAGAGCTCTCTCAGCCCCACCTACCTCACAGGGTGTGTGTTGTGGGGAGGGGAAGGGAAAGGAGTTTGTAAGCCGCTCTGAGACTCCTTTGGGTAGTGAAGGGCGGGGTATAAATCCAAACTCTTCTCTTCTTCTTTTCTCTACCTGAAGGAGTCTTACAATTGCTTTCCCTTCCTCTCCCCACAACAGACACCCTGTGAGGCAGGTGGGGCTGAGAGAGCTCTGAGAGAACGGCTCTTGAGAGAACAGCTCTGACAGAACTACGGCTTGCCCAAGGCCACCCAGTTGGCTCTATGTGGAGGGGGGGGGGATCAAACCCAGTTCTCCAGATTAGAGTACGCCACTCTTAACCACTGCACCACACAGATTTTTCTAAATGGCACTCTACAGAGAACCTCTGAACAGAATTTCAGAGCTTCTGCCCATCAACAACTCTGGGCTGGAACATTCCTGGAGATTTGGGACCAGTGGGTGGGGAGGATGGAGTTTGGGTAGGGTAGGGAGCTCAGTGGGGCACAATGCCACAGAGCGCACCTTCTGAAGCAGGCATTTCCTCTAGGGAAACCGATCTTTGTACTCCGGGGATCCACTGTAATTTCCTGGAGACCTTCAGACCCCACCTGGCGATTGGCAACGCCAACACCAGGACTCGCACAGCTTCCCTACCTTGTATTGCTGGGAAGCTTCCTGGGCAAGAACCACCTCATGGCCTTGGTGCTCCTCCAGTCTTTCGCAGGCGAAGCAGAGGAGGGTCTCCTCATTTCGGCAGAAAAGGTTCAGAGGCGCCTGGTGTCTCCCGCAAACCCCCTCCTCGGCTGCTTCCCAGTTTCCTCTCCGGAGGGCGAGGCTGATTTTCTTCAGTCTCCCCAACATATTTGCCAGCTGCCGATTTCGCACGAGGCTCCTTTGCCGAACTGTTTCTCTGCACTGGGGGCAGCGGGAAGGCTCCGAGGCCAGGCAGGCTCGGCAGAAGTTGTGGCCGCACTCGGGGATGCTCACCGGGTCCCTGAAATGCTCCAGGCAGATGGGACAGGTGAGCGCCTCGCGGAGCTCCTGCACGGGACCCCCCGCCGCCGCCATGGCTGCCTCGAGCGAGCGCGGGAAGGAAAGAGCTTCGAGTTTCTTTTTCCCCTGTTGGCGAAGCAGGCTCGGCTCGGGAGTTCCCTTCCCGCCAAGTGCCTCAGGCTCTCTAAAGGTAAAGGTGAGGGTTTCCCTTGCTCGGAAGCCAGTCGAATCCGACTCTAGGGGGCGCTGCTCATCTACCTAGTGACGTGTAAATCAACGTCATGGGGAAACTGCACGGCTTCTACAGAAGGCAAAACAGATAGATATAAATTGATTCACTAAGAAGAAAAATATTTTTATGTAAAAAGGAAGAAGAGAGCATTTTTCATCAAGCCAAGGACCAGTCTGGGACCCTGGGACTCCGATCTGCCAACGACCCCGAGGAGTGTTGTGTCCAGACTTCTGGCCGGCCATCACTAGGCGTGCAGGGAATGCCACCCGACCCCCCCACGTGAAAAGAGTTGGAACACAGCTGGAGTCCTCGGAAGCCAGTCGAATCCGACCCTAGGGGGCGCTGCTCATCTATCTAGTGACGTCATCATGGGGAAACTGCACCGCTTCTACAGAAGGCGAAACAGATAAGATAGCTAGCTAGCTAGCTATAAATTGATTCACTAAGAAGAAAAATATTTTTGTGTAAAACGGAAGAAGACAGCATATTTTCTTTCTTCACAGACCAGTCTGGGACCCTGGGACTCCGTCCGATTTGCCAACGACCCCGAAGTGTGTTGTGCCCAGACTTCTGGCCGGCCATCACGAGGCGAGCGGGGAATGCCACCCCCACCCCCGGGTGAAGAGTTGGAACACAGCTGGAGTCCAGCGGCACCTTAAAGACCGACAAAGTTTGCCCACAAAAGCTTCTAGTAAAGGTTCCCTTGCTCGAAAGCCAGTCGAATCCGACTCTACTCCGTTTCCAAGCCGAAGAGCCAGCGCTGTCCGAAGACGTTTCTGTGGTCATGTGGCCGGCATGACTAAACACCAAGGCGCACGGAACGCAGTTCCCTTCCCACCGAAGTGGTCCCTATTTATCTACTTGCAATTTCTTGCTTTCGAACTGCTAGGTTGGCAGGAGCTGGGGCCAGAGATGGGAGCTCACTCCGTCATGCGGCACACTTGGGTCTCGAACTGCTGAACTACCGACCTTCCACAGCCTGCAGTTCAGCGTCTTAAGCACTTGAGCCACCGCAGCTTCTACCCAAAATTAAACTTTGTTGGCCTTTAAGGTGCCGCTGGACTCCAACTTTGTCCTTTGAAGGAAGTCAGATAGTCAAGCTTTGCGGGACAGCAGAAAAAAAGCGGCTGATATCTGGCTTTCACGTAGAACAAGCTGCGAATCCGGGACATTCTCCCGACAAGTGGATTTCTTTTTAGCCAGTATTTGCCCCCCACTCATTCTGCCTGTTTGATTTGACGCCTGTAGAGACGGTGAGTCAGTTCGAGGAAAGATTTGTCCCTATTGCTTCAGGGTCCCGTGTCCCTCCCCCCATGTGTTTTGCTATCTCTAGTAGTGCCAGAGGGAGCAAAACACACGTGGGAAGGGGGGGGGAGAGAGAGAGACCGAAAGCAATAGGGAAACACGAGCGACAAAAAAGTCAGCGCTGCGCAATTGGTCGGAGAAAACGAAACTAACTCCGCCGCTCTGTCTCCCGGATGTTGACACAGCCATGGCGGCCGGGGGTCCAGTCAAAGATCTCTGCGAGGAAGCCTCCTGCTCCATCTGCCTGGACTATTTCAAGGACCCGGTGACCATCGCTGAGTGCGGCCACAATTTCTGCCGGGCCTGCCTGACCCGCAGCTGGGGGGAGGCTGTGGCAGAGGCTTCCTGCCCGGTGTGCAAACAAACCGCTTGGCCCAGGAACCTCCGGCCAAATCGGCAGCTGGCAAATGTTGTCGAAATAGCCAAGAAATTTCATGGGGAATGTGGGGCAGAAAGAAAGGGGGTGGAAGGCAAGGGGAGAGTCTGCGAGAAGCACCAAGAGCCCCTAAAGCTCTTCTGCAAGGACGACAAAGCCCCCATCTGCGTGGTCTGCGACAGGTCCAAGGAGCACCGAGATCACCAAGGTAAATAGGAACCCCCTGTGGACAGGAAAATGCTCTTTAGACTCTACTTGGGATGTACTCTGTAGATTTATTCCTGTAAGAGAGTCTTCTCTAACCTGCTTTAATAAATCCATTACTGCATTCATTTTAGGATCCAGCATCTTGACTATAAACTGGGATAAACGGTGCAGTCCTAAACAGAGTTATACCCTTGGTGTAACTCTGATTAGGATTGTGGTGTTTAGTCAGCTTTGCACTAGCTTGGACTGCCTTCCGTGGTATATTTAAAAAGCACCACAAAGGAATAGAAACCAGGAAGTAAAAAGAAACCAACAACATTGCTTTATTTTTTGGCACCAGATAATCACAGCAGCTGGACAGGCACGAGTTTGTGAGAAACACCAGAAGCCCTTGAAGCTCTTCTGTAGAGAGGATGAGGCCCCCATTTGTGTGGACTGCGATGGATCCAAGGAGCACAGATTCCATGAGGTGGTTCCTCTGGAGGAGGCGGCCCAGGAGTATCAGGTAGGAGAGATCTCTGTGGATGGGGGAGTGGGGAAGAGCTGCCTGTGTGTTCTTCTCCTCAGGGTCTCCCATATGACACTCTGTGGGGAAAACTCCTCATGGGTTCTATCCCCAGACTCTGGGCCCAAATAGGGAGTCAAAACCCTCTTTGTAGGTTATCTCCTGCGCCCTCCCATCTCTGCTGTTCCTCTCCTGCCTCCTTAGGGCCGCTTGGGTCTAGGGGCGATGTTGAGAAACTCACACACGTCCAGTCTGGCTGTGTTGACTTTTGGCTGGGCAGACTGGGCCACTGAGCCACCCGATGTTGCAGCTGAGTCACTGACTGGCAGTTTTACTCTCTTCCCCCATGTGATTCTCCTAGCTTAAATCATTCCCTTGGCAAATTCATTCAAAGTAAATCCACGTTTGATGAACAAAATAGAATTTATTAGAAGAGATGATTAGATCAGGAACAAAATCATTGTTAGTAATGACTACAACAGTCCAAAGGAAACATAATAAAGGAACTTGAACCGAGACGGGACCAACGATCCCAATTCCCGCTGGCGGGAGTGTGATAAGACTTCGCGCCCATTCCCTGGGAACACAACGGTTCATACTACAGTTCTCAGGCCTCGAATACAAAACAAAACAAGCAAGCCATAACTACTTCCCACCTCCAGCTGTTCAACCTTGAGCAGTTCCGCAGGGTGCTAGTACAGAAAGTAAACACCTACAGGAGAGGCCACCTAAGGGGGGGTGAACCAAGAAGAGTACATCATGCAGAATACAATATACAACACCATGGCAGCTTGCTGACAAAATCACTCCCTTGGCACAGCTCTGTTTCCAGTGAAGTGCTAGAGGGAAACATCCTTTTTTCCTTTTGCTGTCATCACCGCTGATTTATGGTGACCCCCATAGGGTTTTCAAGGCAAGAGACATTCAGAGGTGGTTTGCCATTGCCTGCACCTTTGTGTAGAGCCTCTGGCCTTCCTCAAAGGTCTCCCATCCAAATACTAAACAGGTCCGACCCTGCTTAGCTTCCGAGATCTGATATGATCAGGCTAGCCTGGGCTATCCAGGTCAGGGATGAAATACCTCTCTGATACATGAATGTCCCTTCTGCAAATAGTGTGTGTGTGGGGGGGTTAATTGGTAAAACTGGGAAGGAAAGGTAAACCCCCTCCTCAGTTCTGTGGCCTAATCTGTATCCCCTTCCCTGGCACTGTGTGCAATACAGAACCCACTATACTCTATCCAATTTGACCCACAACGTTTTGATATTTATACCGGGCCGGGGTCCGCATACCCTCAGTTGGGGCAGCTGCCAGGGCCCAGGACTTCTGGTCAGGCCACTTTCACTGACTCGGACCCACCCATCTTCTCTGACACCTGTCTGTACCCATGCTATTGCCTGCACTTTTGTGTAGAGCCTGTGGCCTTCCTCAAAGGTCTCCCATCCAAATACTAACCAGGTCCGACCCTGCTTAGCTTCTGAGATCTGATATGATCAGGCTAGCCTGGGCTATCCAGGTCAGGGATGAAATACCTCTCTGATACGTGAATGTCCCTTCTGCAAATAGTGTGTGTGTGGGGGGGTTAATTGGTAAAACTGGGAAGGAAAGGTAAACCCCCTCCTCAGTTCTGTGGCCTAATCTGTATCCCCTTCCCTGGCACTGTGTGCAATACAGAACCCACTATACTCTATCCAATTTGACCCACAACGTTTTGATATTTATACCGGGCCGGGGTCCGCATACCCTCAGTTGGGGCAGCTGCCAGGGCCCAGGACTTCTGGTCAGGCCACTTTCACTGACCCACACCCACCCGTCTTCTCTGGCACCTGTCTGTACCCATGCTCCCAACTACCTTCACTGAGGAAGGGCATGTGGATAGTGCACAATGGTGGCACTCCTGCTAGCAACAGCAGCAGCACTCCCAGTTGCATGCGCTGGACAGTGCTATCAAGGAAAGGTCGTGCAGGCAGCTGAGCATGGGCAGTAGGAGGGCTTGCAAGTGGGAGCAGGAGGCACAGGAAGGTGGGGAGGATGTAGAAAGGAAGGCATGAGGGGGATCCCCAGCCCCATATTTATCTATCGTATTTAGAGAAAAGGAAGACAGCTCTGAGCCTAAGGCACCCTGCCCCCACCCATGTGCACACAAACTCCTGATCTTTGTCTTTACTCAGGGTAACATCTGTAGCTTCCTGGAGGTTTTGAAGAAGGAGAGAACAAAAATTCTGGCATTTAAATCAGATGTAGTAAAGGAAAGCCAAGACCTGCTGGTAAGTGTCACTGCCTCTGGAAAGTGGACCAATTTTTGGAAAAATAGAAAAGCCACGAGGCTGCCCTGCTTCTCCAAACATGTGTCATTTAGATAAAACAAGAGGCAGGGGGGCGGCAGGGGAGCTCCACGCAGAGCAGGGGGAGGAGGAAGCAGCAGCAGCAGGTAAGCTTCCCCCCCATCCCGCCCCCCGGCCAATACTTGATCAAATAAATAATTCTTTCCTGGGCTGTTCGATGACACCATAATGCAATAAAAAGCTAACAATTTCACAGGGGTGTTTGGAAACTGTTTGTCTCCTGCTTCGTAAGCTTGCTGCTAAGAGAAAATGGAAGTGGGCACATAGCACAAAGGAAGTAGCCCCCCTCTCCCTCTCTCTCCCCCCCCTCTAGCTTCCGGTATGCCGTACTTAATGGTGTTGGTTTTACTGCATAGGAAGCCTTACCTTTCTACTAGAATAGCAAAATGCTACCCTAGATCTTCCAATATTTGTTGGAGATGTAAAAGAAATGTAGGATCTTATCTTCACATATGGTGGAAATGTGATACAATTCACGTTTTTTGGGGGGGAAATTCATAAGATTTTTCTAGATATTTTAAAAATTAATGTTCCATTAACACCTGAAGCCTATCTACTTAACATACTACCAGACAATATAAAGGATCTCACTTATATAAGTGTATACATATTAACAGCGGCTAGAATACTTATTGCGAAAAGATGGAAATCCAAGGTCATCCCTACAGTAAAGGAACTTAAATATAAGATATTGGAAGTTGCAGAAATGGATAAGTTAAATATATCACTACAAAACAAACCAGAGGAGATATTTTGGAAGAGATGGAAAATAATATATGATTGGCTGAAGATAAAGAAGATGGATTAGACTCGAAAATATGGAAAGTTATACTGTTATATTATGTATAAGAAGGAGAAATGAATTTTATATAAAGTAATGTATAACAATGTTGGCAAATATATACATTCGATTGAAAATGAAATAAATTTATAAAAAACCCAAAAAACAAACAAACATGTCATTTAGAACAACTTGCAGTGCAGTCCTAAACAGAGTGACACCCTTCTCAGCTCATTGACTTCAACAGACATAGAAAGAGTATAACTCTATTTAGGATTGCACAGTGGATTTCCAGCAGAAAATGGTCATATAATTAAAGATGTTGCTGAAATGTGTAATTACCTTGTTTAGTACATGGATGGGTTTGTTCTGTTCATGATGGTCAACTGTATCAAATCAAATCCCATTTTCCCAAGATTATCTCCCCTGGCTGTGAATGTTAAATCGGATTCTGTGCATGTCCGGTCAGCGTCCAAGAGACCAGGCATCCAAAGCCAGCTGATTTGGTGACAGAAGTTCTTTAGTGTTAATCTTCACTCTAAATAATAAAGAAACAGCTCTCCTGACACCCAATTAAACACAGCCTTTAGTCTTTTGGTGAACCACTTGATGGTTTCTTGCGTTTACTGTAGTCCTAGTTTTCCTTCCAGATCTAAAACTCCCATTCCCAGATAGTTTCAGAGGGTAGCCGTGTTGGTCTCCAACAGAACCGCTAGATTCGAGTCTAGTAGCGCCTTCTGGACCAACAAGATTTTCGGGGCATCAGCCTTTGTGAGTCAAAGCACCCTTCATCAGCTACGCCGTCTCTAATGAAGGGAGCTGTGAAAATCTTGCTGGTGTCTAAGGTGCCTCTGGAGTCACTTTGGGGTCACCATCAGTTGAATCTCCCAGGAGGCTTTCTGCCATGGGTGGTGCTCTGGGATGGGTAAATTTTTATGGGATCCAAGCCCACGTATTTTCCCCTGTTGGAGAAGATAGGGCAGTGGGCAGAGAGTCATCTTAGTGGAGAAAAACTGGGTCTCCCATTTTAATTCTCCATGGCTGCATTTTGCAAAGGGGGTGGGAAGAGAGAGAAAACACTCAAGGAGGAAGGAATGTGACTCAGATTCAGAAATATTCTGGCTGTGAGGAAAGACCCGTGTGACTCTTTCAGAAACTGGTTTTTGTGCTGATGGTTGATGTGATCTCTGAGAAGTCAGAAACGTCCTTGCTGTAGGAGTTCCATGACTTAAATCCTTCATGCTTGCAATGATAGGCTGTCAGGGCAACCTTAGGAACACTTCCCTGGGAGTAATTCCCATTGAATAAAATGGGAGTTACATCTGAGTAGACCTCTTAGGATTGCTCTTTGCATTTGATACCAGTCATGCTTTCCATCTGCTTGTCGCAGAAGCAAACAAAAGGAGACAAGCAAAGGACAGTGTCTGAGTTCAGGCAGCTACGCCAGTTTTTGGAAATACAAGAGAAACATCTGCTGGCCCATGTGGAGGAGATGGAGAAAGAGATTGCGAGAGAAAGGGATGAGCACCTGGCCAGACTCTCCCGAGAACTCTCCTCTCTCGAAAGCCTCATCCAGGAGGTGAAGGAGAAGATTCAGCAGCCGCCCAGTGAACTCCTGCAGGTAAGAGTGTGGCAGAAACAGGCCAAGTTCCCCTCTGTCTCCACTCGTTTCTGTGCCTACTTCATCGTCAAGGAGAAATGGAGGAGTCCAGATTGTGTTGCTCTCCTGGTCGGTCGCATGCAGAAATGTCCTTTCCTTTTCCAGTCACGCTTACTGGCTGCATCTTGCAAAGTGAGAAGCTATCTGGAGAACAATGTTCCCTCTAAGCTGTGGAGTCTTGTGAGCAAAAATTCTACTTTATGAGCTACTGGCATTAAAGTTGTGAGCAAGTGATTTGGGTACTGCATAAATTAATTTGCTCTAAAGTCATCCTTCCTGAGCTAAGACAAAAATGTGTGAGCCAGAGGCTAAAAAAACTGTGAGCTAGCTCACACTAACTCAGCTTAGAGGGAACACTGCTGGAGAAATGAAAAGGAAGGGCTGTGGCTCAGTGCTTGGCACATCGAAGGTCCCAGGTTCAATCTCCAGCACCTCCAGTTAAAAGACCAGGCAGGAAGGGATATGAGACCTGAGACCCCGGAGAGCCACTGCCAGTCTGAGTAGACAATACTGACCTAGATGGACCAATGGTCTGTTTTAGTATAAGGCACTTTCATCTGTGTCGATGTGTGAAGAACTTAAGTAAGAAGCAGATCAGGCAAAGCCTGTAAACTGCCTGGTTTGTCTGGACGAGGGACAAAGTTCCCTTGTGAAAAACTGCTAAACTAGCCCAGAAGGCCCTGAGTCGATGTAACTTGCTCATTTAGAGAATCAAGACCATGCTGTTCCTAAATATTGCATTCCAGTGTTGTCTGTGTTGTCCCTCTAATTATTTTAAAGAAACTTGTATGTGGTGATTGTGGACTACTGAGCAAGAGGGGTGTCTGGGGGGCAGCTGGTGGTGCCCCAGCTTTTGCATTGCTTGCCATTCAAGGCTAGAGTATCTCTGCTAGTGCAGTATTACATTGTCCATGTTTTTGCCGGTGCCACAAGGATGAGTATTGGAGGACAATGGTGGGGGGTACACTATGTGCTATGTGGGGCCACAGTGATAAAATCTCTTCTAGCAGGTTGCAGAAGAGCAGTGTCTCAACAGGGCTAGAGGGCCCCGATGCCTCTACTAGAGTTGTCCCTTTTTGCAACTCAGTTATCCAGTCCCATCACCATATCCTGGCTCATGTCACTAGAGGCAAAACCCTCCACTCACTCAGTGGCTGTGAATCTGTGTGCTGGGATCTTCATTTTTGTTTTGGGGGGGGTTTGGCCGTCAAGTTGCAGCTGTGTTATGGTGACCCCACAGGATTTTCAAGGCAAGGGACGTTCAGAGGTGGTTTGCCATTACCCGCCTCTGCATAGTGACCCTGGACTTCCTTGTTGGTCTCCCATCCAAAGACTACCAGGGCCGGCCTTGCTTAGCTTCCCGGAGCTGACGAGATCAGGCTAGCCTGGGCTATCCAGGTCAGGGCGGGGTCTCCATAGTGTGTCCTATAGAAAGCACTGAGCTCCCTCCTCTTTCTCTCTTTTCCCTCCAGGATGTCAGAACCACTTTGCAGAGGTAAGTAGACCCCACTCGTCTCCTTTCATGGAACTGGACAGGGTCTAGAGAGGATGTGAAAATTCTGGGAGTTTGGTTTTGATTAGCATGTATATAGCTGTGAAGTGATGGGGTATTTACAGCCCAGGGGGGAAAATGGACACTCCCTTTGTGCGGCGAAATATAAAGTGTGGTTGAGCAGCTGCTGTCAGATTATCGCCTCCCATTTACATGTGCAACAGCTTGCCTATGCAGGCACACATAGAACCTTCAGCATTGTCCTGATTTCAACCTGCCAGCCTGAGTCACTGCGCATGGGGCCCAAACCAGATGCTGAGGGCCAAGTACTGAGACCTGACAGTGGAGAGCATGGGAGCACTAATGTGTATCTTTGGGGCCACCTCCTCTGGTACACTCTGCCAAGAACAATTTACTGGTGATCCCTTGCCCCAAAGATATCTGGCTATCCTCAACCAGAGCCAGGGCCTTCTTGGTCCTGGCTCCGAACTGGTGTAACCCTCTGCCAAATAACGCCAGGGCCCTGCGGGACCTAATGCAATTCTGCAGGGCCTGTAAGGTAGAGATGTTCTCGGCTGAGGGCCTCGGTTGAGGACAGCAATGGTTTTCCATCGTGGCTGGCACCCTCCCCTGTTTCCCCATCTTCTGTCGTTTCTGCCTCCACTTTATCCCTCCCAGGGCTCTACTGGTAGCAGGAGCTCCTTTGCATATTAGGCCACACACCCCTACTGTAGCCAATCCTCCAAGAGCTTACAGGGCTCTTCTTACTGGTGCTACTGTAAGCACTTGGAGGATTGGCTACACTAGGGGTGTGTGGCCTAATATGCAAAGGAGCTCCTGCTTCCCTCCTATGAGGTGGCAGGACAGTCCAGGATGGGATTTAGGACAGATTAAGAATGCCATTATGGTGGACCCCCACATCTCCCCAACTGTCTGGCAGATTTTTTCCTACCAAAACTTCCGTTCCCCTCAGTGTCTGAGTTGCTTTACGGTAGCGTGTATATCGTCTCTATTGATATAAACTTGAAACTGACCAACCCTTTGTTTATATATTGGTTTAGGCTTTAGACCAGTACAGGAACTTGAGGGAAAGATAGGAGCTGTCCTGTTTTATAAACTCTTATTATGAAATGGCACTTGAGGCAAAGTAACTTTCAAAACAGAAATAATATTTTATTGAACAGGCAGAGAATATATATAATAGGGGTAGTCAAGGTTTTGACATTGCTGAGGTAAAAACTTTCTAATATATATACAGAATTGAATTCTTAGAACACTCAAGAGAGTGTTTTTGTAGTTTTGTTTCAAGGTTTTCTAATTCTTTGAGAGATACTTTGTTTAGTATATTTCAGCACTAACCTTATTAATGTTTCTTCTTGAGGACAGCATTTGCTTAAAGTTGCTTGATTTCTTCCTTCAGAATTCTAGGTTTTCCTTTAGATATTACAGCTTTTCACCAACTCCTGAGGTGTCTAAGCCACTCCCCTTTATCACAGACCAGGGTTCTCTTCTCAACCCCTTTCACTGGCAGGAAGTTGTTCTCCTTGTCCCTAAGAAGCAATAACTCCTTTTGCTATTTGGCTCGTATGGGAGTTGTCTCTAACTACCCAGACCTTCTGCCAAATCCTTCTCCAGTATCCTTTGTCTGTATAAGGCTGTTCCGTAGTTTTCCTGACTGAGAATCTAAATTCTCCCTCAGAGCTGTTTTAATATATTTAAGACAATGGAGTCCCTCTTACCTACCTCATAGGGTGTCTGTTGTGGGAAGGGAAAGGGATTGTAAGCGGCTGTGAAACTCCTTCGGGTAGTGAAGGACGGGTATTAATCCAATCTCCTCCATGTAGAAGTACTTTTCTGACAGTTGCCCATCAGAAAACACTGACT